GTGGTGGTGGTATGGCAGTGAGACACTGATTAATGTAATTTGCTTACAAAATTTGGGGAAGCAAGCATTTCTTAAACCAGTTTCATCCTTAATAGAAGTCTGAATTTAGCCTAAAACCAGAGGTTTCACTCTTCTAACACGTGGGCTTAGCAACAGGCAGGTAAAAGTAACTAGGCTAGTTCTATAAACTGTTAAATGTCGTAGGAAACATTTTGGGGCGGTGATGTTTTTCTTTTTTAAGAATGCAATGCACTAAAACTCTTTTAAGAATGTAGTTAATACTGCTTATTCATAAAAACAGCGTATACCTGTGTTTAGATGTAAGATCCCAGCTCTGGCTTTTTTTTTTTTTTTTTTCTTTCTTTCTTTTTTTTTTTTTTTCTTTCCCAAGTCAGTTTCATTTTATGAATAAGTTCTGACATTTGTAATAAATGTCTTGAGAGTAATAATTTGTTTAATGGCTACATGTTCATTACTTGAGAAATCTTGAGTGTATAATAATCTGTTGGTGTTGTAATAATGCACAGTGTCACGATTCAGCCGTTTTCCTTTCGGTTTTCTTTCTCTTTTGGTTGGATTCCTTTGGTGGGGTACTTTGTTGACAGCTGCCTTAAGCTGTTCATTCAGTGAACAGGCTCTCAGTGTTTCATGGGCTTTGTCTTCTGCTGCGGTTAACTTTCCTTCATGGCATGACAGGTAGGGCTTTTCCAAACACACACTCTCCAGTTCAGTCAAGCCGATGGCTCGAGCGACCGGTCACACAATCAGAGCCAAGAGCACCGAGTGTGCAAAGCTCAGACTCAACACACCCTTCTTTGGGTGTCAAATCTTGACTGCTGTAAATCCTTCAAACCCAATCAGCGTTGCTGCTGAAGACTCTCCTTGGAACATGGTTGGAAAGCGAGCGTTGAAACGCTGTGTGCACACAGCAATCCCCGTCCCCCCTACCCCCCAAAACAAAAAAAAAGAATCACAACTCAAGAAAGCCTTACATTTGCTGGTGGAGGAATACCTAGAACTATTTTTTTTTAATTGTATGACTTTTGGATAGCGTTGAAGGTGAAGGATGTGTTCTTTTCAGGCCCGATGTGGTCAGCCAGAAGAACGATCGACCTTTTGTACTATAATGAACTAAAGGGGACTCGGAAACGCAACGTGATGGTAGACATGGGTGTAATCACAGAGCTGCCCTGTAGTGTAGTTTGCCGAAGCTGATTCGATCGAATGTCAGTCTGCGTGATTTAAATCTTCCAGTGCTATGTGGTCAAAATTAATCTAGTCCTTGAAAGCTGATTCTATTCACCTAGAGGAAGATGCTCCAGTGCTGTAGGGATGCCCAGATCATGGATGATACGTACTGTTGAAGTTTTGAGGCTCCAGGGGAGGAGGGTAGAAATCTTCCTTCCTTCAGTGGGTCTGCCCACGTGGCAACTTCTGCCTGCACAGAAGTGCCAACACGGCGAGGTAAAAAACAGTATTACAAAACCACTACGTACACCAACATCGAACTCTTCAAACAGTGCTTTTGTAAGCAAAGAAGAAAAGAAAAGCTCCTAGGTTTAGTTTTAAGCTTTAATAAGTAATAATTTTCTGTATCTTTAAGTCAAAGTAACCCTAACTTGTATGACTGCAGTGTTTTTATTTTTTATCTTATGCACATGTTATGTTGGAGAAAAATGTTTACAAAAAATGGTTTTGTTACACTAATGTGCATCACATATTTATGGTTTATTTGAAAGTGATTTTTGTGGGTTTTTTAGTTTTTCATAGTAGTAGTAGTAGTACACTTTTTGTGATTTATAACCCCAAACTCTGCTGATTATAAAGATGCTAAACAATAATACAAAATGACAAACTGCATTAAAATTACTAATCGTAGAGCTGCAAAGCAGACTGGTGACAAGTAAAACACTCAGCCTTTTTTTTGCAGTGCTATCTAACTTGTCTTCTGTGTATTATGGAAATTACTGTTTTTTCCCCATTTTTCCTTAAATAAAGTCAAATTGACACCTATTGTATGTGGAAAGTATTTTGAATATCTCCTGGCTGCAGAAATCAAGCTGCATGTTGCCTAGTTGCATGTTGCTAGAAGAACAAAAGCCTTATTGTCAAATCTCATCATTTGAGAGGCTCTGACAATTAATGTGGGCTTTTGAGGGCTTTTTTTTTGTTGCTATTCTTTTTCTTTTTCTTTTTTATTTTTGCCTTAAAGCCCAAAAAGAACAAGTGAAAATCTTAGAAACATGAGTGAGGCCCTGGTGTTTTGGAAAGGAGTTGCACAAGGAGAGTTTGGGTGCATTGTGAACGTGCTCTCCCACCACAGAGCCATCAGGTTTGTGGTTTTTGTGAGCTGGTATTGCTTGTTGTCAAGAGGGCAATGAACAGGAGGCCTGAGCCAGATACTCACATGGCATTAAAGCACAGCTCCAAAAAACCTCAGGCTTTCCAAGTCATGAGCCATGAGGACTGAGCAGGTTTGATGCAAAGCTGCTGTTTTCACCCCCAGGGTTTTTGTTATGTTTTTTCCACCATGGGCTGTGTCTGTTTTCTGAAGTGGAGATAAGCAGTAGACGTTTCCTTCCAGCTAGGCTGGTCTCTGTGAGAGGAGGAGGAGGAGGAGGAAGTCTGTGGTCCCAGGCTCCTGCCTTTCCTTGTGCTTTCATCTGCAGAAGGCATTGGGATGTGGTGTCAGTTGGAAAATGTTTCAGGGTTTCCCTTGCTTCCTATGGACAAAGGTATCTGAAATCTTCGAGCCTTTTCCGCTTCTGCCAGCACAGATACTGACTGAGCTGAAAAAACTCTCAGGACCAGGTCAGGCTCCTGCTCTGCTCTGAGGCAGCAACTGGAGCAGAGCCATGTGCTCTGCAGAGCACATGGCTCTGCTCCAGTTGCTGCCTCAGAGCTGTTGGTTTTCCTCAGCCATTCTTGGCCCGTTGAGGACTCCCCCAGTTAAACGTGTAGGTGTAGTTGAGTGAGCACCAGAGCTAGTCATGAAAACAGATGTGAGCTGATGCTCCTTCCAGTGTGCAGTAAGTGAAAGCAGCACCCCCAGGTGTGAGCTTCACAGCAGGTGCTGGCAGAGGCAGTGGAGAACATGGAAAGCCTTCGTGCTCCTCTGAAGAAAGACACAATTAGAGTGACTTGCAGGAAGACTGAAATAAAAAAAAATGAGAGCATTGGAAGCCAAGTAGCAGATCTCATTCCTCTGTGGGACTTGTGTAGGTAGCAGTGGTGAGAGACCCAAATTTGTACTTTGTAAGAGGAGGAGGAATGTGCACAGGGCAGGAGAGAACAAATAGTGCAGCAATGGAACGTGTGCGATGGAACTTAACGACTGCAGCAGTCAAACCAGAGAAAGAAATGACTTGAAACCATTTTCTTACAAAGCTTTTAAATATGTAAGTTGAATATTACTAAAGAAAAGTGCAGAACACTTACCCAGGAGGTTAAAGTGAAAAAAAGAATCTGCAAATTAGTAGAGACAAGAGCCAGCCCTTTGCACGGGGTTGCTCTGCTGAAAGTCATGTGCTAGAGCATTGGGATTGTATAGGACCTTATCTAAAAGGGGTTTGTGGGCTGCTACCTGTGTTTCAGAGAGCTTGTTAATTCTTCTGCTTGTATCCACACTGTGGTTTGGGATCAGGACTGTTGAAAAGAGACTGAAATGAGAGAGACTTTAAAATGCAAGAGAAGAGCAAAAAAAAAAAATCTGCAAATTAGTAGAGACAAGAGCCAGCCCTTTGTAGGGGGTTGCTCTGCTGAAAGTCATGTGCTAGAGCATTGGGATTGTATAGGACCTTATCTAAAAGGGGTTTGTGGGCTGCTACCTGTGTTTCAGAGAGCTTGTTAATTCTTCTGCTTGTATCCACACTGTGGTCTGGGATCAGGACTGTTGAAAAGAGACTGAAATGAGAGAGACTTTAAAATGCAAGAGAAGAGCTGATGATGGAGAGGGGACTCAGCATAGGACTCTGCTGTGTCAAAATGCTCCAAGGCAACAGATATGCTAATAGTGATGTGAATGTCTTTCCACCTCGGAGGTTTGCCTTGTGGCAAACCTGTGAGCTGCAGCACCCCAGCCCAAAGCTGTTTCTCTCTTCTTCCAGCGTCACTGAAGGAATACCAGCAGAGTTGTGCCATGTTGCTTAGGCAATATTTCATAAGCACTTTTTGTGGCCAGCCTGGTGTACTTGCTGCTGGCTCTTTGCTTGGGAATCCCAAGCAGTCCAGCAGGCAAACAATCC